AGCCTGCTTCTCCCTCTCCCACACCCCCTGCTTGTGTTCCCTCTCTCACTGTGTCTCTCTCTGTCAAATAAATAAATAAAATATTAAAAAATAAAATAAAATAAAATCTAATTTGTCTGATAGGAGGATTGCTACCCCAGCTTTCTTTTAAGGTCTGTTAGTTTGGTAAATGGTTCTCCACGCCCTCACTTTCAGTCTGGAGGTGTCTTTAGGTCTAAAAGGAGACTGTTTTAGACAGTATATGGATGTTTTTTGCTTTTTTATTCAATCTGATACCCTTGTCTTTTGATTGGAACATTTAGCCCATTTACATTTAGAGTAACTATTGAAAAATATGAATTTAGTGCCATTGTATTGCCTGTAAAGTCCCTGTTTCTGTAGAGTGTCTCTGTTACTTTCTGGTCTATGGTACTCTTGGGGTCTCTCTTCACTTACAGGATCCCCCTTAATATTTCTTGCAGGGCTGGCTTGGTGGTCACATAATCTTTTAGTTTCTGTTTGTCCTGGAAGCTCTTTATCTCTCCTTACATTCTGAATGACAGCCTTGCTAGATAATGAATTCTTGGCTGCATGTTCTTCTCATTTAGTACCCTGAATATCTCATGCCAGCACTTTCTGGCTTGCCAGGTTTCTGTGGATAGGTCTGATGTTATTCTGATGTTCCTCCCCCCATATGTAAGGAACCTCTTCTCCCTAGCTGCTCACAGGATAGCTTCTTTTTTTCTAGGATATGCAAGCTTCACTATTACATGTTGGGGTGTTGATCTATTTTTATTGATTTTGGAAGAGGTTCTCTCTGCCTCTTGGATATGAATACTTGTTTCCTTCCCCAGATTAGGGTAGTTCCCAGCTATGATTTGCTTAAATATACCTTCTGTTCCTCTTTCTCTTCCCTCCCTGTCAGGCACCGCAGTAATTCTGACATTGGTTCGTTTCAGGGCATCATTAATTGCTCAGAGCCTTTCTTCATGGGCTCTGAGTTGTCTTTCTCTCTTTTCCTCAACTCCCTTCCTTTCCATCAGCCTGTCTTCTAGATGACTTAGTCTCTCTTCTGCCTCATTTACCCTAGCTGTTTGAGCAACCAATTTAGACTGCATATTACTCATAGCATTTTTAAGTGTGGCCCGATTAGATCTCATTTCTGCACTTAGAGATTCTGTACTGTCATTTGTGCTTTTTTCAAGCCTAGCTAATAACTTTATAATTGCTATCCTGAATTCCATCTCTGACATCTTATATCCATATCGATTAGCTCTGTGGCAGAGAACATTGCCTCTGGTTCTTTCTTTTGTTGTGAATTCCAACTTCTAGTCATTTTGTCCAGAGAAGGTTGGGTGAGCAAATGAACAGAGTCCAAAATAACAACCATGATCCAAGCTAAATATACCCTAGAAAAATCCAAAGTGGTCAGAAGCCACCACGGAAAAGCGAACAAAACCAAAATGAAACAAAACAATAAAAAAGGGGTGGGGAGAGACTATAAACTTGCAGGGTGGACAAAGCAGGGTGATCTACTTGTTCCTGATCAAATTTTGGTGTGTGTGTTAGAAGACACTACATCTCAAAATTGCAAAGAAAGCAAAACCTATATATATGTGTGTGTGTGCGTGTGTGTGTGTATACATGTACATATATATTTATATAATGAAATAAAATTGAAATCATATAATTAAATAAAATTGAAATTGAGTGAAAAAAGGACTAAAATGAAGCATATGTCTGTAAAATGTAGATGTAAAAAATACAAGTTAAAAAGTGACTTAAGAACATAAGTTGGTAAAACAAGAAGGTAGTTGAAATGGAAAAAAGTTAAAAAGAAATGGAAAATGTTAGACTGAAAGATAAATGAATCATGAGAAAACACCTGTAGTGCAATATACTATTTTCCCCTGCCGCTGGAGTTTTACAGTCTTGTGGGATCCATAAAGTTGTAGTCCACGTGTTCTTCCAGTCTGTCTTCTGGGAGAGGGGCCTGCTGTGCTGCTTCTCAGGTTTCTTTGTCTGAGTGGAGTTGCCCCACCTCTTGTCAAATTCTTGCCAAATTTTCTATATGAACTTTTAAATTATCTTTTGTGTATCTAAGAATGTGTTATTAGGATAAATTATATTAATTTACTGATTTTGGGAGAATTGATGTTTTTGATGTAGATCCTTCCTATTCATGAATATGGTATGTCTTTTCCTTTGTTAGTTCTTTTTGTATCCTTCATCTTTTTTCCCCTGCCATGGTTTAGTATGTTTTCTGTTAATGTGTTGATATGTATTCTGCTTTTTGTTGTTGTTGTTGTTATAGTTTGAGTGGTTTTTGTATATGAACTTGATGTATATGTTTTTACATATTTTTTATAGTCTGATAATTTATAAAATTTTCTTACAGAAAATTCTTTTTTGTATAGAATATGTCATAGGATTCTTGGGTTTTCTAGGTAAAAAATATTTGTAAATCATGACCATTTTCACTATATTTTATCTCTATTTAATTGCATTGACTGTTATCACTTGTAGATTTTTGAATAACTGTGGTTGTAGCGCATCCTTGTATGCCAGTGGTTCCTCATTAAGTGTGTTGCTGGCTTTGGGGTAAGACATTTACATTGTATCATTTTAAGGATGCATCCTCTAAATCTTCTTTTGTTGATGGTTATTACAAATGGGAGGTTATTTTGTAGATACCTGCTCAGTGTTTATTTAAATGATCATAGGGCTTTTCAGAAATATGACTATGATGACATGTTTTAATAGATTTCTTAATATGGGGGTTATTTCTATTCCTAGACTAATCTTTAGAAATTCTTTCTCTGTCATGGTCTCTTTCTGTGTCAGTAAATATTGGTATTTCCTAAAGCATGGTGTCTGTTCCTTTTCTCCTTTCAATCTCTTAGGTTTCTCTTTGAGCTCTTTCATTCACTTGGTGGCTTCAGTCAGCTACTGCTAAAATTCTGCAGCTTCCCAAATCTTTATCTTCAACTTAGATTTTTCTTGAGCTCTAGATCATATAACCGGTTGCCATTTTGACATCCCTACATACCTGACCACAGAAACTTCAAACATGCTGTGTCCAAGATCTGTGTCTTTTGTGCCCAGTGCACTCTTGTGTCCTCTTTTCCAATTTCACCTTACAGTACCTGTATCTATCTAGCCGGTTGTACAGACAGCTTGGTAGGAAAACTCCTCCTTCATCCTTCTCAGAGCAAATTAGTGCCAAATTCTGTTCCTGCTTTTTCTTTTCTTTTTTCTTTTTGGGATTAGTTCCCTATTCTGTAATCTAATTGCTCTATATCCTTTCACCTCAAGTTTGTCCCCTCTGACTCTCTCTTAAGCTCTCCCCATTTTCCTTATAGGGGATGACTATTAAATTCTTTTTTTTTTTTTATTTTT